CTTAAATAGGTCTCCGTGCTGCTCAAGAAGTCCCAAGCGAAGAAGCTGAGTCCAAAGCGGGGGCCAACAAACCAGCAAAGTTGCTCTTTAAGAGGGGTGCCGGAGAACATGGCTGCTAGAAGGACCGAGATGAATGCTAAGAAGGCTCTCTCCAGGTGACTATCCAGCCAGAACGTCTTCGTGCAGCCGCAAAAGGGAGGAGAAGTGAATTGAATCATTCTGAGGGTAGCGAGCTTCTGCAAGTCTGTTGTATGCAGAATCTTGTTGTCCAGTGAATGCTGCCATCTTGTACTTCCATTCTTCAAATGCGGTGTACTCTCCCGTAAATCGTGCGAATCGTGGTGGTGCAATCTTGTGCTTGGATATTCCTTCCAGCTGTGTATTACCATGTTAAAGTAGAAGGATCTCTGTGACCTGTTTACGTGAAGTGTAAGTCCTGTGAGTGCCATTAGCTGTAGGCTCAAGGCCTTGATATGGAAAAACCGAGGTGAGATGTAAGAATGAGTGTACACGGCTCCCTGTATCTCAACAGTACATGCATGCATAAGATTAGTCCATAAAATCAGCCTTTCGTTTGGCAGGGCTTGCCCAGTTGCCTTTGCCTAGATTCGTTTGCGCGGTCAACACACCCTCTTGGGTCTGTATGTGTCGTGTGGGATGGTCATGAACCCTTGCTCATCAAGGAAACCAAAAGGAAGCCGAAGCCATGTTGGGGGCCCCAGTGCAGTCCACCGGAACTTATGTGTCTCAAAGGGGGTGCCTCAAAATGGGCGGGTTTCTTCTTGGGTTTCTTCTTCGTTTCCGTGGCGAAACCCAGGACCAGGGCCTTGGATTTTTTTTTTTCCGACCATTGGGAGGCCTGCGCCGGGAGTTTCAGCAGCAGCAGGCGGAGATGAGGCGTCAAAAGGAGGCCTGGGGGTGTCAGAAGACGAGAAGCTGCTTGTTTATTTGTCAAATCCGGGTTGGCTGTGTTTTGGCCTCACGTGGGAAACGGCAAAAAAGCGGCTTCATGCTGGAGTAACAAAGGCTCCGTTTGCAGACCAACACCGGGGACCGCAGGTTTTAGTCCTTGTTTCCATTTACCAGGGTTCCATTTGAATTTGGGGTGCCTACTTTTGACTCACACCCGAATGGGGATGTCTCTTCAAAACCCTGGCTGCGAAAAATGAATCGCGTCGAGGAGCTGCAGAAGCACCAAAAGGAGCTGCAGCAGCATGCCAAGGTGGGGGGACATGTCTCGGGTCAAAGGGAACCCTGGGCTGGTGGTTTGCATAAGTTTCGGCCCATGTCCCGGAGGGGAAAAAGGTCATTTCGGCCACGGCTCTTGATCAAGTTACTCTAAGTTGCTGGTTTGGATTGGTGGTTTGGATTTGGAATTCAACCCCTGGTTGCCTGACCTCCAGTAGAGCAGTTCCTTTTTCCCGTTTCGGAGAGTGCGTCCCTTTAGAATCATGTTCCCAGGGCCACTGGAGGGAAGACTTCCACTTTGGTTGCCACTTCCCTTTGGTGGTAAATGGGTATGGCTCAAAGCACCGGTACCAAAATGGAACCCTGGTAAGTGGAAACATGGACCAAAACCTGCGTAACCCTAGCTCTTTAATTTTGAGCCACAGCCAAATAGGAACCAGGTGTGCCGCGATTTGGGCGAGGGTACTTGAGCAATCATGTGTTTCCCGTTTAAGCAGTCTTTTCAAGCAGGCCAAGCATGATTTTAAACAGATGAACTGCGGCATCCCCGCGTGAAGACGAGAAACAACGTGCTGTGATGTTTGGTTTGGGATCTTTCCAGGTCATGGGCATCCGGCTTGATTCCAATTTTTTGAGCTATAGGCTACGTATGTTCCAGCTCCCCCCAATCGCTGGCAAATAAGCCATTGGGGTCTTGGTTTGTTTCGGCACATTTGGGAGTTTGTCTTCGATGTTTCACACCTGCAAGATCTGTCACAGCAACTTTGGGCAATGGACGGAGGGTCTAGTAAACCAGGACAAGGCAATGCAACAAAAGGCGTTGAGCTACGGAATCAAGGGGGATCTTTCTGGGATGGACTCCCTGTTGCAACCTCACCCCAGGAACCATCCCATTTCCAACCAATAGGTCAAAAGGCCCTGATTGATAGAACTTGGGCAGCCAGTTCTCTTGCCTCACCATGTCACCCAATGTATTGCACAACTGGGAAGTGTACCCCAACTGTGACACCTCCATCACCTTAGCGGGCACATACCATCTTTTTGTTTTTCCTAATTTGGAGCGTGAGGGCCCATAGACTGTGGGCTCACTTGCAAGCCGATGCCATCGATCGCGCTCCCCTTGTGATGTTGTGTCCCCCAAACAGTGATCAGTTGTTTGTTCTTCCTTTTTGTTTAAACACAATTCCAAGTCCCATGGCAAGTGACCAAGAGTTTCGCGCGACGCGACGAGGAGATTCAGAAGCATGCCAAGGAGCTGCCTGGAGACCCAGAAACATGTCACGGGGAAGGATCCTAGGTGCGATGTTCATGGGTTCGAGCTCACTGATGCGGGGCTACGAGCGGACAAGTCGTGACGAAGGTTCTTTGGGGATCCAGTTCTTGTTTCCGGTTTTGGAACTGTAGGAATAACATATCCGACGGCATATCCTTCCACACGTTACCTAGTGGGTTGAGATCCTTGGCTCGCTCCAATTGTGAAGCGAAACGCAAGGCTGAGCAGCCACATGGACCACGTTGGCTGGATCAAATGTTTTGTTCGCAAAGAGGGACGACTCGTGATTGCGAAGCGGGTGTCCAATGTCACAAGAACTCAACAGCCAAGGGCAAGCTTGGGACAGTGGAAACGGAACTGATGCCAGCCCTTGGCTGGACAACAGGCTGCTTTCTCGGGAAAGTGACCAAGGTCGGGCACTCTGATGCAAATTCTCCAAGGCCCTCTGAAAGCAGCATCATGCCGAAGAAAATGTCCGAACAACATGGGGTAGAATTGGTTGACAGGTTTAAAGTTGACTGATCGAACGTGACTGGGCCTTTACGTGCTACAGCAAGGGATTTCATCCATCATTGAGGTTCCTTTCGGTCAAGCACGGAACCTGTATTGATGGATAGTCCCAAGAACAAACAAATAAATGAAACAGGGCCATTCCTAGGTGTTTGATCTCGGCTTTTTGAATCGTTGGCAGAAGCTCCCTTCCTACTCGCTGGTCAAGTGACCCACCGAAACGTCGAATCGTTTCGCCAAGTGAGACAATGCGACAGTCGAAATCCGCTGCAACGAGTTGCCCTCCTTGTGAAGCACAAGTCATGACCAATGTTGCTCCTCAAATGGGGAAGGGTGAGTGCATCACAGGCAATAGTACATGGGTTACCCCGCTTGTCCAAAGGTTCCCTCATGCCACAGGTTTGCAACCGGTCACCCCCCATGGACGAGCACAAGCTCCCTTCTTCAAAGCCGAATTTGCCAAAAGCGGGCTCTGCACCTCCACGTTTGCAGGGACGGTGCCCCTTGTCTAGTCAGTCCCCTGTATTCATCTCCCAACCAAAGACCAACCAAAAGGGCACTTGTTAGCCTCAACAAAACACCGGATGGTAAAGGGAAACGAAAGGAAGCCACCCCAAACAGGGTTTCAACCACTCCAACCAAACCAACGGGAAACCAAAGGAAAATCCAAAGGAACACCAGAGGAAAAACCAAAGGAAAACCCAAAGGAAAACCAAAGCAAAACCAAAGGACAACCAAAGGAAAACCAAAAGGAAACCAAAGGAAACCACCCCAAAAGGGGGCGTTCAACCTAAAAGACGAGCCCCTCATCTCAGCTCGTCCCAGGCACCTGCAGACGCAGCTGGGTCTTGAGGACAAGAGAGAGCGGCACCTGCCCATGCAGAGGCTGCAGGCGGTCGACCGGAGCGAGTGAGCGAGCCGGTTGCGGCGTTGACTCAACGAAGAAAGGCTGAGGTCCGGATTTTGTTTTTTGTTTTTCATGGCATCTAACTTTGTTGAAGCATGGCAAGCAAGCAGAAACTTGAAGAGCCTGCTGTGGGTGTCCCTTGCAGGACCAGGTTCTGGTTGTTCCGCCCACCCCTCTCGCGGTCCAAAAGCCAGACGGAAGCTTGGAAGCGCGGGAAAAGGACTCCGGCTCACCGAACCGCTGCGGTTGGTTTCTGTGAAGCCCCCCCCCGCCCAGGTGGTACTCCCGTTTGAACCCTCCCTGCAAGCTGCCATCTCAGATACTTGTACCAGAATTCGCGCGGCTCAATGCGTTGGGCACACCGGAAAATCTGGTACTTTCATCCTGATTCCCCAGGAATCTCAGGCGCACCGTCCAAGCTTCCCATGCCCTCTTGAAGCATGTAGTATCCGGTCGCAGTCAAGTCGGTGGGCTGACAAGAAAACCGTGACCCGCGCAAATGTTTGGCGATGGAACCCACTGGAAACAGACTCCGGAGCTTGGATACGGGTTTGACATATGCAGCAGCAAGAAAGCACGAGCTTGGTTGGGTAAACTTGAGCTCTGCTTCCTTGACGATTCCCGGACCATTTCCGCGCACGAGTATGTGTGTTTCTTTTGGGGAAAGGGGAAAGCCCCAACTAAATCGGCCCCCCCCCCAGTTTGGTTTCCCTTTGAAACCACCCGCCCCCCCCCCCCCCGGGTATTTTTTTCGTTCAAAGGGTACCTTTCGCCTCAACAAGGCGCTTCCCATCGCTTCTGAGAGGCTGTCAGCGACGACCTGCACTGGTTCAAGCGCCAGGTCTATGCTGCTTCGCTGCAGCGGCTGTGTTGCCTGAAATGCCCTAGAGATGGCTTCCCTTGTTTTTAAGGTCTTGGCAGACTTGACATGTTTTTTTTTTGTTTCCGCGCTGTCGAATGCCTCTTCTCTAAGGCTTCCCCAAACTTTCACCCCCCCCCCCCCCCCCCCCGAGATCTGCTCCCTTTGCCTCCCCAAGATCTTTTTCCCCCGGTTGAGATCCTTTCCCCCTTTCCCCCTGAGATCTTCTCCCTTTTCTTTCCTAGGATCTTTTCTCCCTGTCCCTGTTGAGATCCTTTCCCCCCCTTTCACCCCGAAGGCCCTTTCAGATCTTCTCCCTTTTTTCTCCCTAAGATCATTTGCCCCCTTTCCCTGTTGAGATCCTTTCCCCAAAGGCCCCCTCAGATCTTAAGGCCTTTTCCCCCCCTATGATCTTCTCGCTTTTCGATTTTTTTAATCCCCCTTTCCCCCCCAAGGCCTTTTCCCCCTGAGATCATATCCCTTTTCCATCTTTTTCCACCCTAAGATGTTTTCCCCGCATTCCCTGTTGAGATCCTTTCCCCCCTTTCCCCCCTTAAGATCCTTTCCCCCGTTTCCCTTTCCCGTTTGAGATCCTTTCCCCCCTTTCCCCCCTTCATTTCCAGATGTTCCTTCACTAGGGCAACATCCCCAGCATCACTTGCATCATCCGCATCCTTGGCAGGCGCTGATGCGGATGATGCAGGTGATGCTGGAGATGTGCCGCTGGAGCTGCTAAGGATGCGAAAGCACTGAGTTGCGCAAGCCCGCGCAATGAACAGATTTAGTGAAGCGTCTTCGAATCACCGCGTGGTACGTGGACCCCCCCCCCCCCCGCAATAGTCTGAAATGGTGCCCCTGGGGAGGGGTAATAAGGAGCATTTCTTACGTCCAACACGCCGTCTGTTGTCGGCGGACATCGACCCTTTGGAAGTGAAAACTGACTTCCTCAAACCTTCTACACATCATCGCAAGGAAGAACGGAAGAAGCTTCATGATCACCTCGCCAAGGTGTATGACACATACCTGAAGATTCACCACCCCATTTTGGTGGCAAACCTTGGCCGACAAGCGGCCAACGAACCATCCAACATGCCGTCTGGGGTGTTTACCCTGTTCCCTGGGTATTGGCCCGCGACTCGGAACAGCTCCTTCTCATCCAGCAACATCAAGGCAGTGCTGGGATGCCAAGAGCGAATGGCCCGATCGTTGCTGATCAAAGAATTCAGCCCTCAGCGAATCCAAGAACATGATTTGGACCAAGCTGCTGTGCGACAGGCGTTTCATCACAGTGCGGAGAGTCAGGAGAAGTCATACAAGTATGGCTTGAAGAACACGGTGAATGTTCTCCAAGCAAAGATTTTGGGCTGGCGAGTGCGACGCGTGAAAAAACTGTTTGCTCTGTTTTGTGCGCCTTGAGTCTTGATTTGTGCAATTCCTGTCTCGCTTTTGCTCGCCTGTGCAACGCCAGGCTCTGGATATCTGGATATCTGGATATCTGGATATCTGCGTGTCTTCTACCACAGAGCGGGATGCGACGCTTAATACGCATGTTTTTCACCCTCGACTCACGGACAGTTCATCGCACTGAGGGTGTCTAGTACCGGCTTGCAAGGGAAGCTAAGATCCGTGAAGAATACCGCCTAGAAAGAATTGAGCAACCGTTTCTGGAAAGATTGCGCGTGGGTAACAAAACGGTTTTTGCAGAGACGGGGAAACTACTAGAAAATGAACACCCAGCGGTTGATGCAGTGAGACCGCTTGACATGGAATTTTCTGGGCACCGCCGGTTTTTGCAAAACGACTAGCAAATGAACACCAAGCGGTTGATGCAATGAGACCGCTTGACATGGAACTGTCTGGGCACCACCGGTTTTTGCAGAGAGAGGCAAAACTACTAGCAAATGAACACAACGGTTGGTGCAGTGAGACCGCTTGACATGGAAACTACTAGCTAATAAGAAGGAGACTGTAGAAAAGAAGGCCCGTCCAACACAAGAAGTCTACCCCTGCAAGATGAGAAGACTTTGCAGCAGGAGACACTTGGAACAAGAGCCTTTAGGGGGGGCCTGTCTTTGATAAACGGCAAGGAAAAGCAACACAAGAAGAAGTCTGCAGAAGCAGCGGTTAATGGTTGATTTTTGTAACAGTCTTTGAGGCACAGCGGTCAACGCAGTCAGGATGCAGTCTTGCCACCGCTCTTGGGCCATTGCATTGACCGTACTCAGGAGATCTGAGCCCAGCGGTCAATGCAGTTGTTTGAAGAACCCTGGAAAAATGCGGTTCTTTGCTGCCAAAACGGTCAATGCAATGTGAAACGGTTTGCCAGAAGGAAACAAAAGGAAGCCAAGAAGAAAGCAAAAGGGAACCCAAAGAAACCATGAACCAGAAGGAAACAAAAGGAAGCCAAGAAGAAAGCAAAAGGGAACCCAAAGGAAACCATGAACCAGAAGGAAACAAAAGGAAGCCAAGAAGAAAGCAAAAGGGAACCCAAAGGAAACCATGAACCAGAAGGAAACCATGAACCAGAAGGAAGGAAGCCAAGAAGAAAGCAAAAGGGAACCCAAAGGAAACCATGAACCAGAAGGAAACAAAAGGAAGCCAAGAAGAAAGCAAAAGGGAACCCAAGGAAACCATGAACCAGAAGGAAACAAAAGGAAGCCAAGAAGAAAGCAAAAGGGAACCCAAAGGAAACCATGAACCAGAAGGAAACAAAAGGAAGCCAAGAAGAAAGCAAAAGGGAACCAAAGGAAACCATGAAGAAACAAAAGGAAGCCAAGAAGAAAGCAAAAGGGAACCAAAGGAAACCATGAACCAGAAGGAAACAAAGGGAAGCCAAGAAGAAAGCAAAAGGGAACCAAAAGGAAACCATGAACCAGAAGGAAACAAAAGGAAGCCAAGAAGAAAGTAAAAGGGAACCAAACGGAAACCATGAACCAGAAGGAAACAAAAGGAAGCCAAGAAGAAAGCAAAAGGGAACCAAACGGAACCCATGAACCAGAAGGAAACAAAGGGAAGCCAAGAAGAAAGCAAAAGGGAACCAAAAGGAAACCATGAACCAGAAGGAAACAACAGGAAGCCAAGAAGAAAAGGAAATCATGAACCAGAAGGAAACAAAAGGAAGCCAAGAAGAAAGCAAAAGGGAACCAACAGGAAACCATGAACCAGAAGGAAACAAAAGGAAGCCAAGAAGAAAGCAAAAGGGAACCAAAAGGAAACCATGAACCAGAAGGAAACAAAAGGAAGCCAAGAAGAAAGCAAAAGGGAACCAAACGGAACCCATGAACCAGAAGGAAACAAAGGGAAGCCAAGAAGAAAGCAAAAGGGAACCAAAAGGAAACCATGAACCAGAAGGAAACAACAGGAAGCCAAGAAGAAAAGGAAATCATGAACCAGAAGGAAACAAAAGGAAGCCAAGAAGAAAGCAAAAGGGAACCAAAGGAAACCATGAACCAGAAGGAAACAAAAGGAAGCCAAGAAGAAGGCAAAAGGGAACCCAAAGGAAACCATGAACCAGAAGGAAACAAAAGGAAGCCAAGAAGAAAGCAAAAGGGAACCCACAGGAAACCATGAACCAGAAGGAAACAAAAGGAAGCCAAGAAGAAAGCAAAAGGGAACCCAAAGGAAACCATGAACCAGAAGGAAACAAAAGGAAGCCAAGAAGAAAGCAAAAGGGAACCCAAAGGAAACCATGAACCAGAAGGAAACCAAAGGAAGCCAAGAAGAAAGCAAAAGGGAACCCAAAGGAAACCATGAACCAGAAGGAAACAAAAGGAAGCCAAGAAGAAAGCAAAAGGGAATGAAAAGGAACGACACCAACAGAAGGAACCCAGCGAGTTTCCCCCCGCCTCAGGTATAGCGCTTGGCTCCTCATCAGGCGTGATCTTTTCTTTGTGTTGGAGTTCGATGGGAGTGCTCTCAGTGGTTGGTGGACATGAACCCCACCTAAATGATGTCCACCAAAGGGTGCGTAAGTGAAATTCATTCCCAAGCGGGCGCGTCTTTGTTGAGGCCGACGCCAATTGGTGGGTCCGATTGCTTTTTGAAGACACACCCAAATAGGTGCGCGGTCTCCCCCAACTGCAGGGATTTAGGATACCGCATGGGAATTTGTGAGGCGCAGGCTACCCATTTCAGGTGTTTTCTTCCTGTGGGAGCCGCGGCTGCCACCCTTTTGATTCTTTGCCATTGAACTTGACTACAACGACAGCTTTTGACTACCATTTTTGATTCTTTGCCATTTCTTGCCATTGCTTTGCCATTGGTTTTCATACCAGGTTTTGACTACAACTCATGTCAGGGGTCCAAAAAGTTCAATTCCAGCTCTCCAGCTAGGAGCGTTCATGTGCCCAATCTAGCTTTGCAAATGGTAAACGCCAACCAGGGTGTTTGAACGGTTTGCAGCTGGATAGGCGCTTCGAGAATGGGGGGGCATCAGCCAGAAATGATTTGGTCATGAAAACATAACAGGGAACCACCTCAAAAGTGACTGGTGGGCATGAATCGTCACTTAAATGATGTCCACCAAAGGGTCCCTTATTAAACTTCACCCGTTTGACTTCATGTCCAAGAGGCAGCTTTCGCCTCGAGGCTCAACTTCGAGTCCAGTATTGTACACCTGCGTTAGATGGGCTCCGATAAGAGCCAACCAAAAAGGGGTCCAAGATTTTGGGAGAATCCCCTGAGGCATCTTGGACCCTTTGGGAGGTTGAAGGCGATTGTCCGTCACAGCCTGTGAGGCGAAATGGGCGAGCCATGGAATGGTTTAGAAGAAATCTGACACACGAAGGATTCTATAGGAGTCCATTCTTTTGATACACCGAGGCATGTAGTGATTAAGCATCACCCAATCTGAGAGCATGTGAACTTCATTGCATCACTGTGGCAACATGTGTCATGTGGTTTGCGGGCAGAGTTGAAGAGCTTTACCCATTAGGCACGTGGGTGTGTGTCCCATATCAGAGATGGGACTCCTCAAACTTGGTGTCCCTGGCATGGAGGGCCCGGCAAAATCCCAGGACCAATGCAATGCGCCCCCTCGGAATTTCGGCAAGGCTGGGCTTTGCGCGTGTGCAAAAGGATCAGAAGATGGCGGTGCGGGATATGATTCCTCTGGAGGAGAGGGACGCTTTTTCTTTTTGTCAGGGAGGCGGTTGGTCGGGGTTTCCTACACGGGTATGTGTCAAAATGGAGATTTGGACCCCCGAACACGTGTTTTCTTTTTTGGCGTCTTTTCAAACCAAGGTGAACAGGGCACGAAGAGCAAAGCACAGACCCATATTTCCGCTGGTTGTAAACATCACCTTTCGGTTGCCAATGAGCGAATTTCCTTTTGGTGGGGTGAAGGGGAAATTATGGGCCCTGTTGCAACGCGTTGTAGGGGAGGGTTGAATTGGGAAATTCGTCATAAGGAATGCGTTGAACCGGCGGTATCACAGTGGATTCCATTTGCAGGGAATTGTTATTTCAATTTTGGGTTGGAAATCTGAGAGGCGAAGCCAGTCGCTTTGGTTTGCCCTGGAGACAAGCTCGCTTGGGCTCTTTGCATCTTAGGCTTGAAGCGACGGAAATCACTTGTGGGACGAAGCTCTAAGCAGCTGAACACACCGCTCCCCTTTTTTGCCGAGTCCCGCAGATCGACTGGGCTTGCAATACATGAACAACCAGGCTTGTGTTTCTTTGCGCCCGTAGCCGCTCGCCCGAATATGCAATGGTCGGAAGTCGAATCAATTTGTAAGTCAGGTTGTTGCTGGAGCCCTCGCGATAGTTTGGTGCCTATGGGTTTTGTGTCCAGCAAGCACATGCCGCACATCCACATGGACCACTGCTTCATGGGTTGAGATGTGAAGTCATGGGTTCCCTTGGCGAGTCCTTGTGGGTTCAATGGGAAGTTGTCAGGAAAAGCCGATGAGCGGGTTCAACAGCGATGAGGCCAAAGGGGGTAGCCTTGTGTGGGAATCAGGGCATACACATGCATGAATGACTAGACTCCCCGTTCATGTGGGTTCATGGGGGTCGGAAATGCATTCGACCCTTGGACTACGAATGCTGTTTTATGCCCTGGGGACTTGGGACCATTGACATAATATTTGTTGTTTGTTGAAGGCAAATCAACAGCACCGAGGATGGTATTTTCTCAATCCATCGTTTAAGAGTCGTCCAAAAAGGGAGGACTCAAACAACAAGCAACTTGGATTCGCACCTCCGACATGTTGCAACATATCTTGGACTTCTTCCACGGTAGGCCGCACACCACATGCTTTGACATTCACTTGAGCAACACCTTCGGTGTGCCATTTGGAGACTTCTTTCTCTTGCTGGTGCTCAGTAGGCAATGACCAATAGTCTTGGGAATGAACCGAGGGATTTTCTCAAAGGAGGCCATAGGGGATTGTTCTAGTGGTCATTCCCTCGTTCTCTGGGATCCCCGGCAAGCTTTCCTGCTCAAGAGAAACGCTTGGCAACTTCAGCCTCCTTGCAAGCGGGACTCCGGACTTTGGTTTGTGCGTGCTTTTTTTTGCCTAGGTTTTCTCTTCTGACTGTCACTTGGCTGGCTGGTGGCTGGTTGGTTGGCTAGTTGGTTGGTGGCTGGCTTGTTGGTTGGTTGGTGGGTTGGTTGGTTGGGATGCAGACAGAGGCCGCATTTCCACCATCACCAGCACCACCAGCGAAGACCCGCGGACCCACTCGACGCGAGAGTCTCAATTGCCTTAAGCTGCCATGAGCGCCAAAATGGTACAAATGATGCTGGCACTGCTGGGGATGAAGCTTCTCTCTTCGTTGGTACCCGTCAGATCTTCAATGAGCTGAGCTGCTTTTCCACTCGGATCATGGCCTGCTTTTGCCGGGAGAAATGCGGAGACACCTCTTGCTCGCTGTGATACAACTTCATTTCGGCAGAAACCGGTCTGCAATTGTTTTTGCGTGCAGAATAGCGAGTCCACGATGTCCACAATGAAGGCAAGAGACACTGGAAGAGGCTTACGATTCCGCTGGTGGCCAACAGTGGCCTGCCTATTTTATTGTGAGCTCACCGTTTTTGTAGATTTTTACACCCTGATGTAGATCCTTTAGCTATCCGATTCTCAGATTCTCGTTTCCGGCTTTGGCCCCGGGTGTGGGTTTTGGGCCCTGGGCTTGCACAGGAGCCGCTCTCCTCCCGAGGCAGCTCCTTCTCCGATCAGGAGGACGTATTCGACTGGGTGATTCGTTTGGAGGGACCTGCATGGGAAGCCCGGAATTCCAGGATTTGGGGTTTAAAAGGAGCGAACCTGGTCGCTTCGGCTTCGGCCAGTGCTCCATTTGGAGCAGCTGCCAGAGCGTCAAACAAAATGCTTGTGACATCCGACGTCTGTCTTGGAGCGCCGAACCCCTGCCCTGTTGCGTGGGTCGCTTTCATGTGAGCCACAATCACCTTGTGTGCGGCCGCCTTTCTGATGGGCAGACCAGGTTTGAGCATGACTCATCTGTGCGTTTTCCAAAATCAAATACACTCAAAATGGGTGGTCTCCCTTGTGGTTTCCCTTTCAAACCGCTCAAAGAGCCGCACCCTCACAACAAGGTATGCCCATGTCGAGCGTATCCGTGCAGGATAGACAAAGGCAGGGTCAACATGCAGACAGCTTGGGTAAAGCAGGAACAGTGGTCATCACCCCGGCATGTAGATGCTTGACAGCCATTGTGCCCTGCAATTTTGCTAGATTCTTCGAGAATCTGGAAAAAATGGGTCCAACTGAATTAATTTCAATCCAAAGGGGTTCTCCATTTTGAGACAGGCCGCTGTTGGGTTCGGCTCGAGCTGCGCGAGGGGCATCGATCAAGGCTTGCGCGTGTTTTTTTTGGCCAGGCGTCAAATGTTGGTCTGATGTGGTGATTGCCCCACGAAATTGCATGCGAACAAGGGAAACCCTGTAAATTCAACAATGGTTTGTGGTTTGTTTTGGTGGAACCAGTGAAGCCGTTCTGAAGTCTAGTTATGCCCATTTCGCAGGGATCGATTGTTTGCTCCAGGTGGCCTGTTGGCTGATGAATGTGGGCATGTTTGAAGCGTGCATCAAGCTTAAGGTCATGGCAACAAGAATTGCTGTTCATGTGAGGCTATCCTGGAATCTCGATTTTGATTCGGAGGCTTATATGGCCTTTCCCGGCCATGGTCGCCTCCAACAAGCGTTTCATTGAGAAATCCCCGTTTGCCTTTTCCTTATTTGTTTCGGGTTTCTTGCGACTTTGGTCCAAAACAGCGTTACTAATCCACGCTGGCGCTCAAAGCTGTTCAAGCGCTTTTTTTGGGAAAGCTTCCGTAACAAAAAGTCCGAGGCGAGTCCCAGGCCGAGGGCAGGGGAATCGCTTGAGCGAAATCAGGACATCGTCCTGGGCATCCAAACTCCCGAGATTTTGCCGGGCCAGAAGGGCTACTTCCAGGTCACCACAGGCCAGCGCGACGCGCGCAAATCGAATGGATCTTTGGATCCGGCTCGTCCGGACTAGCACGATGGGTTTCAATGGGCCAGCGTGGGTGTGGGCCTGGGAGAGGGCAGCATTTCCAGCATTTTGTAAAACATGTCCGCTAGTGAATGCATTCAGCTCCAGAAGCCACGCGCCCAAGAGTAAGCGAGAGTAAGGGTATCAACCCCAGGCTCTCAGTCAGCTCCAAATAAATCCCAGAGCTTGAAGTAGCTGCAAGCCGCGCCTGATGATGCAGGGATGCTGGCAATGCCCTCCATTCCCCATCCAGGCCTAGAAAAGCATTCGAAGTGTGTAGTGCAAGAACGTAAGTGAGGAGCGCGCTCATGCCAAATTTGATCCTTCTGAATTAACCTACGCATATGCACGTCTTGCTCAATCTTTCTCACACAGACGTCTTCCTTGGTATATGTTGCTCGTATCTATCGTGCTAATATGTATTTTGAGCTGTGTATCTTGCTCGTGTATATCTTGCTCAATCTTATCAGTGTTCCTTGCCAATGTGTGGCTTGTTCATGTAGATATCGCTCATGTCTTTTGTTGCTCCCATGTGCTTTGTTCACTGTCTTTTGTGCAGATGTGCATCCTGCATCCACATATCTTGCTCATGCCAGGTACTTGACCAAGTGTCTGTTTCGCGATTTTCTCGAGTGGGGTGGGGTGCATTGCTCCAAGTTGCCAAGCTGTCGCAAGATGTTGGGACCCACTGGGTGAATTATAACGACCTCACACGACCGAATTCACCCCAAATGGTGGTTTATGTGGGGATTATATCCCCCCAACCACCTGATAGGTCCACCTGGAATCCTGGACTGGGTGGGGCCATTCTATAGCGCGAGGTTGGCTGTTGGTGGTCACCTTTACCTCTCTTCTGCAGCTCCTCGCGCTCTCGAACATGTTCGCCTATGGCCTGACCCACGGCAACGTCTGCTTGCGCCTTGGCTCAAAAATAAACGATCAGGGACAACAAAAAGCAGCGCCCAACATGGGGCAGAGGATAAAAGGGGTGTCCATGCCCCTGAGCAAATGCCACCCAATGTCGGTGGCATTCGTGTCTTTTTTGAGGTCGCCCTAGTGCCCTCAAGACAAATCCGGGAAAAATCCAGCAGGGGCTTGGACTTGCCGACTGCGAATTGAGGGACAAGCCGATGAATAACTTCGACTGGTGGATCTTGCACCTGTCCAAGGCTGGGGTGTGAAGACCGTGCCAAGTTGCTCAGACGGTGATTTGGGTGTGTGTATTTTTGTTCTTTTGGTGGGTTTAAAGGGAAAGGAGAGCCGCCGTTTTGAGGGTGGCCTATTTTGAGACACCCCCCATTTACACAATAGAGTTGAAACACGATTGAACGAGGGGGTGGCCCAATCTTTCAGGCTGTAGGCTTTTGGGCGAGATTGTCTGAAGACACTCGAGTCAGATTTGTCAGTGCCATTGAATGCACAAAGGGTGTACCGTCCTGGGACTTGAACGCCGGCTCAGACCGCCGACAGGCCTGCATTCTTACAATCCTTGTACTTTACACTTTGAAGTGCGTCCATTTGGGATACGCAAGTAGGACGTATGCTGACTGCCGTTGTCAGAATGTGGCTCGGAAGTCCCTCCATGGAAAGCATGTAGCCCGCTAAACCAACAAGACCTAAGAAGTCTTAACTTGTTTAGCGTTTGGTCCTAAGCCGACTATGACCACAGAGCTAACGCATACTGTACCTTGGGCACCACTAAGAGGGCCCTGTTCTCCTCCCATGGTTTCCGAGATGTTCCCTTTGTTTTTTCCACCGGATTCCAATGTTTTCCCCATGACTTCCAATGTTCCCTCCCATATTTTCCAACATTTTCAAAGTGTTGCTCCTCCATGGTTGTCATTGGTTTCCCCCTGGCTTACAATGCTCCCCCACACATGTGTTCCGCGATGTTTCTTTTTTTCTTCTGCCCCCACAATTTTCAATGTTTTCCCCATGGCTTCCCCATGGCTTCCCCATGTTTTCCCCATGGATTCCCATATTTTCCCAAGATTTTCTTCCTCCATGGTTTCCAATATTTTCCCCATGGCGTCCATTGCTCCCCCATGTGTTTCCCAATGTTATCCTCCTCCATGGTTTTCATGCTTTGTCCTGTATTTTTCCAATGTGTTTTGCCCTATGGTTTCTAATGTTTTCCGCATGGCTTCCAATGTTCCCCCCCCCATGGTTTCCCACATGTTCCCAATGCGTTCTTCCTCCATGGTGTCCAATACTTTCGCCATGGCTTTTTTTGTTCCTTCGATGCTTTCCCATATTTTTCCCAGTGCTTTCTTCCGCCGTGGTTTCCAATGTTTTCACCATGGCTTCCAATGTTCCCCCATGTGTTCCCATTTTTGTTTATTGTGTTCTTCCTCCATGGTTGCCAATATGTTTGCCATGTTTTCCCAATGTTTTCCTCCTTCATGGTTTCCAATGTTTTCGTCAGGGCTTCCAATGTTCCCCCATGTTTGCCAATATGTTCCCAATGTTTTCTTCCTCCATGATTTCAATGCTTTCCCCTTGGCTTCCAATGTTTGCTTCCTCCATGGTTTCCAATGTTTCCTCATACCTTCCAATGTTCCCCCATGCTTTTCCATATCTCTCTTTTTTTTTCTTCTTCTGCCCCCACAGTTTCCAAAGTTGTTCCCATGGCTTCCCCAAGTTTTCCAATGCTTTCCGAATGTTTTGTTTCTACATGTTATTTTTCTTCTCGCATGGCTTCCAATGTTCCCCCCATGTTTGCCAATATTTTCCCAATGTTGTTTTCCTTGCTTTCCCCTCGGCTTTCAATGTCCCCCCCTTGTTTTCCCAATGTGTTCTTCCTCCATGCCAATCTTTCCCCCATTCGTCCCGTATTTTTTCAAAGTTTTCTTTTCTGATGGTTTCTAATGTTTTCCGCATGGCTTCCAACGTTCTCCCATATTTTCCCAATGGTTTCCCTTTGTGTTTTCTTGTGGCTTGCCATGTTTTCCCCATGCCTTATCCCCATAGCTTCCTTTTTCCATGGTTTACAACGTTTTCTCACGTTTTCCAATTCCAATGTCCCCCCCCACCCCCTACGTTTTTCCCAGATTTTCAGGTAAGGCGCGTTTCTTGTGTCCAACGCGCCGTTTGTTGTCTCCTGCTTGTCCTTTGTTTGATTTTTGTCGATCGTTCATTCTTGCTTGTCCCCCCATTCTCCAAAAACACCGTCGGCAAACAGCTTTGAGCGCGGCGAAGTGAAAACATGCCCAGCGCAGGTAAGGTTCGTACTCAAACCACTGAATCCTGCCCCAGATGGATGAGACTCCTTTTTCCTGCGACAAAACCACGTTCCAACTGTTGCATATTGTTTTCAAGCCGGGGTTGTATGCACCACAAAACCTTCTGGTCCTGCCAGACCCCAGTTTTCCCCTTCGGAAAATCCCAACTTGACAAACGACCTCCAGTGTCTATGTCAAAAGACCTTGAGGATTTTGGGCTGGTTCCTGTTCGGAAATCTAAGGAAGATCTAGCGGCAATCCCAGGTGAGCCGCAATCAAAACCCGAATGAAGGTTAGTAAGGAACGATCCCAGCCGGAAATAGCTGCGGATATCCGCCTTCTTAGTTCTTTACATGGTTCTGGGTCGACCATTTTTGTACCGGGCTTTGAACAAGTGACTCAGGTCTTTGTCTTTTGCCGATTTCCGGTCGACATTTGGGTGTTCAAAATTCCAGAGCTAGGGCAAGCCGCAGGAAGTCTTTGGTTCCATGTTCCAAGGGGCCCATTTTGGGCTCCATCTACTTGAGCCCCAGCCATGGAGATCAAACATGGGCTGGCTGGTGATTCCACAGTGATTCTCCATAACATGGGTGATGGCAAAGGTCAATTGGGAGAATCTATTTCCCCGTGGCTCCCTTTGTGCCACGCAGCCCACGACTCGACGAAAACAGGCGGGGGGCACCATCATGGTGGGTGCCTTTATGGCGGGTGACGTCATGGACACCGTGCCGGGCTGCTCAGAAAAGATCTCTTCAAGTGTTTTTTCCCCTTTTCTTTCTTTTTTTTTATTTAAACAATTATTATTATTATTATTATTATTCTTATTATTTATTTAAAGGAGAAAACCACTTAAGAAACCAATTCCAGAAGAAACAAAAGAAGAAAGAAATGTTTGTACTTTTGGCCCTCCAAAAGTACAATCCAAAGGTACGCTTGGATTGAGAGTGATCTTCTGTTTCTTCTTTTGGTTTGTTTGACAGGGGTTGCCAACTTGAACATCAAGTGCCAAAAAGATGGCGCCCTTTTTGCCAACGGGAGGAGGTGACTCGGTGAATCCACGCAAAAGGGAAGTGAACCAACCCATCACCCGCATGCTCTGCCGGTTCCGCGGTTCCGGCCCTCCAAGAGCTTTTGGCAGCTGGGTGGCTCTAGTTCGCATGGAATGCAACAGATGAATGCAACGCAATGGACACCGTCTCTCGGAAGAAACATAGCGCCGCGATCATTCCAAGGCCTTTAGCGTGAGAGTGGGTCGCCCCATGTGCGGCAAATTTTATGAGGGCTATTGACCACCAGTCGTTGCTCAGGTACCCCTTAGTTGGTGACTTGAATTGCTGGTTCGGACTTGGATTTGAAGCCCTGGTTCTTGTTGCTTGGTTGACTAGTCCCAACCACCCCGTGTGAGGGAAGCCAAATTGCCCAAGGGTTTTGTCAGGAACTTCTTGATGGTGGAGATCCTCGTGGACTCTCGGCCGATTCGAATCCGAGCTCGGGAAAGCAAGTGCCCCCCGTTTAATGGGAGATCAACAGGAAAACCATCATGTTCGGGGGAGATCACGCCTATTTTGAGAGGCATGCCAATTTGTTTCTTTCCAGAAAAACACCTCCAACGGCACGGTGTCTCGTTTTCGTTTTTCGGGAAGCGCAGCTTTCTCCCTAACGGGGTTTGCCTCGTTTTCGTGCGAGCAAGGAGAAGGATGCGAGCCCAAAGGCGATCTTCTTCTTGATCTGGCGCAGCTGGGCGTAAGTAGACCCCCAACCTGCCCCGGATAGAATACCGAATCTATCTGGAAGGAGGCGGACTTAGCTTTTTGGACACAGGGTGTTTGACCCACTTCCAAGGCCGTGGAATTGTGCGACCTGTGGGCAAGTGGGGCTTCCAAAGTCAAAGACGACTCATCGATGCTCCCGTTTGGAGTTGTGAATGAAGAACACGTTTGTGGTGTGCTGGATGTTGGGCGCACACTGTGGTAGTTGCCAGCAGTAGGCTTGGCAAGCACCCCAAACTGGACCTCCACACAGAGCTCTGGCCTACATGGCATCTATTTAGGGCCATTCATGTGTGTTGTTTTGGGTTGGTGAAACAAATGTGGCTGTGGGTCAAAACCAATGGTACCATGTTGAGGTAGGTGCCCCGCCCATGTTAGAACCTACTTTAGTGGGGGTTAGGGTTGGGATGTTCACTGGGGTACGATTTGGATTTTGAAAAGCCCATGGCCGAATGTGCCTCAGGAATCGTGGTCATCGTCTTCGTCGGCATCACCAACGCCATCATCTTCATCGTGTCCACCACGCCGGACGGCGTTTGGCTGATGATCACCGCCATCAGCCGCTCGGTGAGCGCGTTGCGAGCTCAGCCGCTGAAGGGTTCTTTTGGTATCCCGGCAGAACCCCCAAAAACCGATGCGCTCGCAAATTGGTTCCCCTCACTGTAGATGAGGATGAGAAACAGTCCGCACCAGAAACACGTGCAGATAGAGTGATAAGGTGGTTCGGGGTACATCTTCAAGTACCAGGCATTGATTCCCGCCCCCTCTTTCCAGTCACAGATCGGTTCAGTCATCAGTGGGGTTGCTGCCCCCCCAGAGGCAAGCGAAGGTGAGCACAACCTTGTGAGGACATGGGGAAAAAAACACGTAGCACATATAGGTTTCCTTTTGGGTTTTTTGGTAGAACAAATCGGTGGCGATTCCTGGTTTACCTGATGGTTTACTCATCTACCAGGGAAACCCATCTATTTCCCCTAAAAGAACAGCTAGGTCGTAGCAGCGCGTGTCAGGCTTCATCACGGATTTGCCCCACGGGATGATGCACGTGGCCCGTTCCGGCATGCTGGGCCATTACATCAGTGGCCCGGCTGCAAGGACGCAGTCTCCGGCACGCCGGGCTTGCCCCTTGATGCTTTCAAGCATGGTACCAGAATTGCATCCCTCTATACGTAGGCCCTTATAGTATTGATTTAAGGAAAACAAAGGTCAAGCACGTATTTTCTATTGAGCAAGACCCTCTTGATCATGCGAGAGTCAGGGGCAGCTTCATGTGATGATGATCATGATGTGTCGCACCCCCGTCTTGGGCGGCTTGTTTTAAACGGATACCCAGCCGGTCTTTTTGGGGTGCCCTACTTTGAGACAACCCCACATGGAATGATCCGGAAGCTCGGGTGCTGAATATCTCGACTGCACATCTTTTCCAGACCGCTTGAAGCTGTCGCTGGCGCGGGGTCACTGCAGGACGGTGGGGTGAGGAATCTCATCGTTTGACGGACAAGGACATCATCTGTCAGCAGAAAGAGCGGACCCTGATCTTGTCGGTTTACTTTGGGAAAACCACGCCAAAAAGGCTTCAGACTCAAAATCAGACTCCACCCACGGCTTGGGCTTTGGATTTCCCCTTCACTGCGATGGGAACCGAGAGGAACCGTCCACTTGGAGTTAGCATTCGGCGAAGCAAGAAGTTACTGACGTGGTCCGGACACCTTCGACCCGGCGTCTTTTGGAGGGAACACTGGTGGTTATTCTCTCTGTCTGCATTCGATGAGGAGCCCCTTTTCGGCTTCGTCGG